AAAAAAAGACCTGTTATGTGTCATGTAGCCAAGACTGGAGGAAGCACACAAAGATTTATCCTGTAATATCAATGATCTGAGTGTTAGAAACCCAGAGGTTATTAGACATGGCAATTAATTATCCTAAATCCCAATAATATCTTCCTGGAGACCTGAGGGAGAGGACCATCTGCCTTGAAAAACGACAAACAAACCATTCTCTGAAAGAATCTAATAATCTTATTATTTCCTTGTCTCAACAGAATCTAATCATAGTACCAGAATTTGGATAAGGACATACAACATTCAAAGGAAATAAAGACAGATCTTAGGGTAAACATTAATTTGGAGAGGGAATTAAGAAAGTCAGGCTTTGTTGATATTTTCCCTATTGGCTGAAACTGGTTACTGAATTCACATTCAAAATACATATAAAATCTTACCTATTGCTACATTTAGTGCATCATTAATTTACCTAGCTATATTTAGTGCATTATTAATTTTGTGTAATGTGTTTTATACATAGAAATGTAGTGACAGAGACCTAGATAGACATAGCAAGAGTCTGAACATACACAAAGTACCAGGAAAAGTGCAGAATATTGCATTGGAATAAATGTGTGAACCCTACTCTTCCTCAGCACATGTATTCTACACTAGAAATAGTATGAGACACAGGTAAAAGCAAAAAAATCTGTAACAATGTCGGGGGCGTGGTGGCAGCGTCCAAATGAACCACGCATTGTTGAGGGGTGACAAGCACTGTAGGAGGTGGAGTGGCAGATCAGGAGAGCTCTCTCTAGAGAGAAATAAAGTCTAGGCAACATCTTGGGAAGGAAGGAAGGAAGCAGCACAGGGTTGTCAATTGAAGAAGAGAAATCCAGGCAGAGGGGACAGGAAGGGCAAAGATGGTTAGGAAGAAGAGCGTCGTCACTATTCTGGAGTGTGGCTGAGGGTCAGTGGTTAGAGACTCACAAGGGGGGATGAGTCGGGCTTCACAGTGGGCCTGGATGTAGCGGAAGGACTTCAGCTTTTATTCTGAGCTAAGTATGAAGTCGTAGACTCTGATGGGTGGTGAGAAAGGAGCTAGGGAGGGAGGCTGGAGATTCCTATAGTTAGATTGTCTTCATGTTTGAACAACTCATTCATTTATTCTTGTGTATGTGCACAGATGTGTATATAGGTGTATGTGTACACAGATATGTCTGCATTTAGAGATCAAAATTCAATACCATTCTATTCTTCAGGTATCATTTGTCTGCTTGTTTCTTGAGATGCCTCTCAGACCTTGTGGATCCAGTGGCTGGCCACGCAGCTCCGGGGAATCTCCTGTCTCCACTTCTCTAGTGCTGGGAGCAGAACTGCAGCCTACCACTATTGCCACTTTTGCGTGGGTTCTGGGGACTGAACGCAAATCCTCAAGCTTACACAGCAAGCATTCCAGCTGATGGAGCATCCTATTCATCCTCCTTTAACGACCTTTTATTCAAGCAAAACCTTGTGTGAGCTGGGTGATTTCAGAGCCATGCCTTATCAACATGGCTGGCTGTTCTCTGGAGTAGTCCCTAGTTTAGTTAACCTTTTCACCCTTGAGCATGTCTAGATGCCAGTGTCCTCCCACCCCCACCCCCCAGGAAACACTGTGGATGTTCTCTGTCTTGTCTATTCAAATTTAATGCTGTACATGTTATCTTTCACTTTGTCAAAAATCCTCATGACTTACTGGAAAAATGAAAGCAATGGCTGCTTAACCAGAATGCTAAAACCCTTAGTCCTGAGATAGTCTCATAGGCTGCTCTAGGAAGAGTCAAAGGAAAACAGAATTCTAACCCGAGTTGCTTATTGATACAAAAGTTGCCACTGTGAAGACGACACAGGGTACACTGTGCTCACATCTTTTCAGAGTTAATCTGTGGCTGCGTTTCCACAAGGCAAACAAGCAAACAGAGCGGCCAAGTCCCAAAGAAGCTGTCCACACGTATGACTCAGCCCACTTACTCATCCAGTTCCTGACATTCAAGAAGCTCTGTTGACTGGTGAGGTCAAACATTAACAAGAAGCCCATGGCGTCTCTGAAAAAGGCGGTGGTGAGGCTCCGGAACCTGCCAACGAAGCACAGTGACTGTTTCTCAGTCCACAAACTCACAATCACAGGCCAAACAACAATGTGGTCCACACATACATGCTGTCTCTATAGCACGCACACATCTTTCTAGATGGACATGTGAGACTAGACCAGAAGATTAGTAGGTCAGGGAGAGAAGATCTGCTTGCAAATTATTTTTTAAAGATCACTCTCAGGCTCTATGATGCCATGGTGCTGATATAGGGTTTCATTTAATCACCAACTTGCCACCACAGCCTCTCTTGGAATCTCTCTCTCTCTCTCTCTCTCTCTCTCTCTCTCTCTCTCTCTCTCTTGGCCTATGGCTTCTTCTGGGCCACAATTAAAATCTTAGCCCATTGATAGTGGACTTTACCTTAGAATTTTCAATTTTTCTTGTCTGTGGCCAGAAGAAAAGCAGGCACATGATCAGCCTGAGAATGAGAACCTCCGTGAGCATGCAAAGCAGGCTGCAGTTCAGAACTAGAAGAGTTGATGAACTCTTTGTAAGGCACCCTTTGGGGTAAGAGTCTCCCTCAGGTGGGTGTGTGAATCATGAGGAAGAGGAAGATGACGGGGGACTGAAGGAAGGGCAAAGGAGAAACTTGGGTCATGGGGAAAGAAAGTGAGAATATTTATTCTCAGTGTAGGATTCTGGAAGTATACTATCATACAAATGCTAAGACGCACACTCACTGATCCCCTCCCTTGCTCCTGCCCTGACTTCTTTAGTGAAGGTAAAGATAGGCTGAGACCCACAATGACGTCAGCACGGGGCAGAACTGGAGAATGCACACAGGGACCAGGGAAGAGCTGGAGTTAACAACGGAACGTCAGAAAGGCACCCAGCTTTGAAATAGAGAAGTGCGGCATTGGCTCTCCTCCATGGTTTCCTAATTTTTTGGTCTCTCATTTTAGTCCACTTGGTAGCTATTTCATGTTGGTTTTCCCCGAGTTCTATTCTGGACCCTTCTCATTTTATGCACACACCCTAGAAGATGCCATTTACTCCCTGGGCTTCGCTGTAGCCTATATGTTGAACAACCCAAGATAGCTAGATAGCTTTTTGCTGTCCGTTGAATTCATGCTTTAGAGATTTTCCCACATAGGCAAAACTCAGGCATTTCTAGAATCACCCATCCCAAACTCAACTGTTCTCCTTCCTGTCTTCTTTTTCTGGCAAGGGCGGTCTCAGGCTGTCGGTGGCACAGCCCTTTTCCTCTTTTCCCTCCTCACTGCCTGTGCATCATTCACACCTGCTTCTTCACTGGCTCTCCTCATTACACTACCTCCTGCTCCACTAGCTTCACACCCATGACGGCTCACCCCCAATTACCGTCTTAGTAAGCTTCCCGTGTCCAGTTTGAGGGAGTTCGCATTTCTTCCTGTTGATCTTGTGATTCTTTCACTAACAACATTTCAATGATGACGCATGGCTCTTGGGATAGCACTAAAGCCATCAAGTCTTTGCAGGATCCTCACCGGTCTATCATTAGGCTTCATCTCTTGCCTACTACCCACAGGCATGCTAATCTTCTCTTGGTTCTGAGAAAGTTCACTGTCCCCCCTGGGCTCCCTCACACGCTGGTTGTTCCCTGGGTTGCCTCACATTAGTCTTTCCTCTTCCTCTGCCTGTCCTTTAGCTGGATTACACTCCCTCATGCATTGTGTATGAGTGCAAACGTAACGCACCAGTGGAAACACTGCTTCCTCCTGGAGCCTTCTGGGAATAGCCTCTTCCTAGAGGGCTCACTTACCACCTTCTGTCTCCTGACAGTTGTCCCGGGGCCATGCTGAGATTGATTGTTTGCCCAGTGTCTACACTCATCTGTAAGCTCCAAGGGAAAAGGAGCTGTGTTTCCAATTGAGAACACAGTCTGTTTTCATTACCCAGAACATGCTATTTATTTACAAAGTGCATTTGGATATTAAAGAAAATAAGAAAAAGATAGAGTACAGAAAAGGTTTGCTCTTCTTACAGATTTTAAACAACATCAAAAGAGAATGGTTCTTTGAAGCATTAGGAAAGAGATAAATCAATCATTGCTTTTGCACAGCATTTCTGAAACGCAAAGGTGTAGATTATAAAAACCAAAAGCATTACTCATTTTGTTTCCATGTGGGTCTGTTTCTGCCTCTTCCTGGCAGCTCTTAGAGATCACAGGCATTCTGTAATAGTTCCCTCTGCAGAAAAGCTGTGCCCACAAAGCTGTTTCTTAATCATTGTACTGATGTGGCTGAGAAAAGTGATCCGTGTGTGTGTGTGTGTGTGTGTGTGTGTGTGTGTGTGTATGTGTGTGAAGGACAAGCCTGTGTGTTATTTTCCTCATTGCCCACAGCAAATGATGAAGTAGTTACAAAGCATGTTTATTGTGTCATCTAACTGAAGCAAAATTTTCCTCACTAAACAGCAGCACAGACAGACAGGACACTTGCTGTGGAGCTGGCTAACATCCTGGATCAGTCGTCCTTTGTCACCCTTCCTTCTGTTACTTCATGGAAGAAATGCAACTGATACCCAGTTACACATACTCCTTTCCCATCTCACCCTAGTCAGTGGCTCAGGTGGGAAAAGCTAAGACCATAAAAAGCAACAGACCCCAGAATCAGGCTCCTTATTGTTGTGTATTCCTAGAGCGGTTAGATTCTTGATGTTCACATAGGATCATGTATTTTCCTGCTTTCCCATCATTGACTTTTTAATCAATGACCATTACCCTTACCTGGATTATATTGCCAGAAGCCCCAAGGCATAGGGCTGAGGTTTGTGGTATTGTTTATCTTGTTGCCTAGCTACACCTTATAACCACAGCATGCAAAATTCTCAAGGGATGAATAAGCCAAGAGCTACTAAGACAGCTCATCCCATTCCCCTACAGTGCAGCTGTATTAAGGGGACAGATGAGAGAAGTCGGCCATCATGCAAGGCTGACATATCGTGTGCAAGGACATATGGGAACCACATTTTTTTCCCGTATTGCTTCTTCAAAAATGAATTAAATTGGTCTATAAAACATACATCTTTGTGACAACAAAACTGACACATGAAAAGAGACTCTCATGAGGAGTGACTTCAGAAGAACCAGCAGTGTTGAAGGGTGTGTGTAAATGGAATGCACAGTCAAAAAAGCTAACAGAGAGGGCCCGCCACCTCTCCTGGCGTTTACACTCACTGAAAGCGAGAACATTTTGGATGCATTTCAAAAATATGGGTGTTTACAAGCATCAGCATTCTAAGACATATGATGCAGAATCGGGGGCAAGATGTCTCCTACATATCTTCGCTGTCACTCTGTCGCCACTTTTATTCAATCTGATAGTAGACAGTTTTATTAGATGTGGGTCTTTAACACTTGGAAATTGGGTCCCAAGGAAACATGTTTTCATTGAATAATGGAATATCACTGAAAGCTCTAAGCAATCCATGCTGCGATGTACTGTTTGCTATCTTGCATATGACAGCAGAAATGAGGTGGAAAGACTAGGAAGAATTCTGCCCTTATGCAGCTCACAGCTCTGTTGGGATAAGATGGCCACGAGTGCATCAATAAAGGGCAGTGAGAGATTTAAAAATAATAGAAAAGTTATCTTATTAAATGGTGACATAGCATCTATTGAGTAGCATTTTAGTGGCAGAATATAGGTGGGGATTTGTTACTGGCTTCACTGGGGAGGTGGAATTTGAGCCAAGGCTGGAGAAAGAAGAAGGTTAGGAAGGTGAGAAAGAGGTTCTAGGGCTGAAGCAATAGCTCAGTGGGCAATGTGCTCCTAGCACAGGCAGATCATTATGGATCCCCAGAACCCATGCAAAGCCAGACATAGTAGTGTGCATCTGTAATCTAGGTGCTTCTACAATGAGGTGAGGAGAGACAGGAGGATCCCAGGATGCTCATGGGCCAGCTGGCCTGGCGTGTGCATCAGCGAATAACAAGGCATGAGCCCCTATCTCAACATGGTAGAAGATGAAGAAGACTTACACACTCCTATACCCAAGGCTGTTCTCTGACCTTCCCACACATGTCATGGCCCATGCACGCCCGCAGTCACACACATGGCCATGTATACACACACGTAGATGCATACATCATACATAATATGTCTGTAAATGCAGGCACATCATACACAGAGCTTAATTAAAAAATATTCTAGCTATCAAGTAATGGTGCGAGCCAACTCTGAGTGAGAAAAGGCAGTTACCAAGCGTATAACAAAGAATATGGGTGGGAGACCAGAAAGACAGGGAGGGTGAAACACCTTCTCTTCAACGCTGTCTGTGATCAGCTCTTGCAACAATGCTAATTCTCAATCTTCACTGGAGTATATCTGAGAAATTTCTCCTCACTAGGAAGTATGAAGATAGATTTATTTCCCTCTGATTGTTTGGATCTGTGCTAGCTTTACAGTTCTAGTGTGAATAATGAACTAGAAACCACAGACTTTTATTTCCTAATACAAATGCCCATTAGTTGTTTTATTTTGTTTGTTTAGTTTGAGAAAAAGTTGCTCTCATTTTGTAGCCCAGACTTGAAGCAATCCTCCTGCCTCGGACTCCTAGGCACTAGGGTTATAGGAATGTACTACCACACTGGGCATAGCTATCTATTTTGAAATTGGTAGAAAAGTTAGATACCATTTTTTTTTGAGTTTCATTTACAACGTTCAGCCTTCAACGTTTTCTAAGTTATAGGTAGCTAGAAATAAAGTAATTTCCTGTTACCGCTCTTGTCCAGCAGTGTCCCAAAGCTGCAGGTGTACCTTAAACGCTTTCCCTGGAGACCCATCGGCTCCTTGTGTGCTGTAAACCTGAAAAACACAATCCTCCCAAGTTAATAACGCCTTGGATTTCGTCAACATTGTAGTTCTCTGGGTTCACCCAGAGTGTTTTCGTTGATTACGATAATCAAAGTTCATAGTGCAGAATAAATATTTGCTTTATTTTCCCCCCAAGTATCACATATATCTCACTTTGAAATGTCAAGTGCAGTATGATTTTCAACACAGTTTAAGCATACTGCAAGCTTAAATTAGACACCTTCTGTCATTTCCTCATGGAAGCAGCAGACACCAGATCAGGATGAAAGCCCAGGTTCAAAAACCAACTTTTCATTTAAACTACTGAGTCTATTTTCTTTTTTTTACTTCGACAAATTGAGTCCATAATCCTTTCATATTTTATAGCTGTAATAAACTTAAATGAAATTACAAGTGGGAAAACCATTTTAAACAAAACTTGCTTTATAAGTACCTGGCTATCTTTTAGCAGAGAATTGACTTTCAAGATGACTTAGGTTAGAAAATGAACACAGAATTTCTCAGGGGGTTGAGTTAGGACACTTTGAACTCTGTCTTTTAGCCTCTTCTTTAGAGGGTCTTTGCATATAATGTTCATGGCTTAGTGGAAATGTTTTATAGGCATATTTTTGCAATATTTCTGCCTAGATTGGTAGGCATTGCTAAGGGGAGAAGTCAGAAGAATCTTGGAGTTGCTGGAAGCAGAGCTGTCCACAATCTATTGGCTCTCAGTTAAGGTATAGGAAGCGATTCAACTTTCATACAGTGGCTTTCCACCAAGCATTTCCCTTTGGAATTTGTGACATCAACTGGAAGGCACAGTGATCTTGGCAGTCAAGAATACCATGGGTGGCAGGAAATCTGGCTAAGCTTATGTGCCTATGCTACATGCCTCACATGTCACAATATCCTCCTTCCTGTCATTAGTGTCTAGCATGGGAGAAGGAAATGGTGTTGTGATTCTCACTTAAGCTCCCTTATCATGGAAAATAGCATGGATGGGTCTCACATTCTGTTCATAACAAGCCAGTGATTGATGGCTGAGGCTACACAGAAATAAAAATGCAGCAAGAACTTATAAATCTTGTGTTCCAGCAATTTGCCAATCATACTTTTTAACCTCTTTGTTAGGAGTAAGGAAGTAAATCCTTCAATTTTCTAAGAAATTTACCTTGGACCAATGAATTAATAAGTCAAAATTTGAAAGATTCCTTAAGAATTCACAGAAAACACATTATCCACAAATTCAACAACTCATTTATTTTAGTGTGCTTTTGAAGACAGATAGTGTCACTCAATATTTTTCTATCAAAATGTTACTTACTGGTAGTTGAAAATGTAATAAATAACATTCTGAAGTTTGAGTTTCATGTGACAAAAAAACCCAGACACTTTGAAGTGCAATAAACACAATTTCTCAATTCTTATTTGATACAAGAGAATAAGTAGAAAGGTTAAGAGTATAGTTAAAAACTTACCACACGTTTTTCCCGAAAATCTATTCCCACTGTAGTGATGAATTTGGGATTGAATTTGTTGTCTGTGTATCTGTAAAGAAATGTTGTCTTCCCTACTCCCGAGTCTCCAAGGGCCAGGAGTTTAATCAGATAATCATAATCTCCATCAGTCATAGTGATGGTCTTGGGGAGCCTGCACAGGAGAAGAGCAAATATGATGAAGCTAAAGCTGATTTCCTCTGTCTGCTATCAGAATGCAACATACAATTAATTAATGACATTAACACCAAATGCCTCAATTGTGCTGAAATCCTGAAATAACTTGGTCAAAGCAGCTTCAAGTATGAGGGTATGCCTGCCGTTTTATCACTTTACATCAGGGTATATAATAGCAAGCATTTGTATAATAGACATTGGCACACAATAATAGACCTTAAAAAGTCAAGGACTTTTGTTTCCAAAACAAGTCTCTCGAGTATTAGCAGTGTGGTGCTTGGGAGAGGAGGGAGACACAAGAAGGGAAACCCCGCTGGAAATGAAACAACAAAGGCAGAAAGTGATTGCAACTACATGAGAAATGAAGAAATTGGAAAGGTTTGCATCTGATAATGAAGGAGAAGCTGTCTATTATATCCATACACAATATTCCCCTTTAGTCTTAGGAATTTAACAACTAGCCTGATGCCCCTGAAAACACTGATCTGAAATCCTGCAGCAACAACTGTTAGAAATCTTCCCTCCCCAAACAAGGAAGCCTCTGTTCTGAATCAGTCTGTGTTGAGTAGTACAGCACTGATTTCCAAGCCTTGAGAGAGAAGCAGAGCAATTGCAAGGCATAGTTTGGCTATTCCGGTAATATGCCTCCTGTCTGGGTGAAAACATCTCTCATCTTTCTTCCAGTGCACAGGCCCCTCCTCCCCTGAAGCTGTGATGGCTGTGACTGCAGACCAGCCCTAAGCTAATGCAAATGCATCTCCAGAGGTTATTCTAAGGCGACTCATCTGAATGACATCCTGCTCTATGGTTGTGAAGTTCCTACCATGACTCAAGATTTGCTACAACTTTCTGATTCATAGGTCACAGGTGTAGTTGGAAGGTTTCTTGGGTCCTGCCCCCCTCCCCCATGGTCCAGACAAATCTCTCTCACCTGCAGTCCCACAGCAACTGGGACCCAAGTAAACACACAGAGGCTTATATTATTTACAAATTGTATGGCCTGTGGCAGGTGTCTTGCTAGCTAGTTCTTATAACTTAACCCATTTCTATTTATCTATAAATTGCCATGTGGCCATGGCTTACTGGTACTTTCAGATCTTGCTTCTCCTAGTGGTACTGGCTTCTCTCTAAACTCTGCCTTTCTCCTTCCTGTCACTCTTTGGATTTCCCACCTGCCTCTAAGCTGCCTTACCATAGGCCAAAACAGCTTATTTATTAACCAATGTGAAAACATATACTCACAGTACAGAAAGACATGCCCTAGCACACAGGAGTGTGATTGTTGTATCCTGCTACAAAGGGGGAGGCCTTTGAAGACTTTGCTAACATGGAAAACATTGCTCTATTATGAGAAAAAAAATAAAATATTCCTATTTATGCAAACCCAGCAGCCAATTTATTTTTTAAAACAGTCTATTCTGCAATGATTAAAATTACAGTTCAAAATCAGCCTATTAGATGAGCTAAAGCATTCTAGTGATTTTCCAAAAATATAAAAATGGCCTGGGGGTGTAGGTCTGTAATTCCAGTTGTTTGGGAGGCTGAGGCAGGAGGATCACAACTTTAATTTCCTCCTGGGCAACTTCACCTGATTGTGTTACAAAATATGAAAAGGGATAGGGACATAGCTTAGTACACATCACATATGTGCATGCATGTGTGAGAAACTGGATTCCATTCAAATCACCACTAAGCAACTGAATAGAAGCAGATATGCATGATTTTTGTGTATATAAACTTAATCCAAAATGCTTTTACTTTGCTATTTTTAAGTAGTAGTCCAAGATGAAAGATTTTATGTCCTTGGGTAAAACAGTTGATGAAGATAATGAGTTATTTATCAAATAATTAATAATCATTAAGTTGCTTTGGAGATTTGCATCTTTTAAATATAACTAATTCCTTAAATCTGAACTACATTTCTTCTGCTAAATAGGACTGAATTGATTAGGAATGTGTGTTTCTTTCATTAAAGAATCTTTTTTTTGAGATAGGATAATTCATATCATGTTGTCCTTACATATGCCTCTCACGTAATTTGCCTTCATCACTGAATAGAACTTGCTGAGTCTTCTGACTATAAAAACTTTTGTTTTCTTTTTAAACTATCTAGACAAAGTATGATTATGGCTTAGGAAGCATGTGCACCCATCAGCAGCTAGCCTTCCTTAGTGAAAGGGCACAGACAACCAAGGACACTAGACTCTTGTTGGAGATTTCTTCTGTAGGAGACTGCCTATACTTACCAACTCCAAAACTTGATGGCTCTAAATCAGAGCTTTGTAGTTGAATCTGCTGCGGCTCTCAGTCTTGGAGCCACACTGGTACCCAAACAGAATGATGCTCCCTATTGGAGGCTTGCATTACCATCTCTCTATCTTCTCTCTAAGTATCATTTTATTAACAGCCTGTTAATTTTTCCCCCCTGGGAAAAGGAAAACTTAAATTTATTCTAAGATACAGGTGACAACTGCCACTGTCTTTCCCAGGTCTAAGCCATAGAGGGACAGAACTAGAGCTACTGAATACCTAAATAGGAAGTAAAGTTGGAAGGTACCATGGCTCCCTGGAAAAATGAAAAGGAGGAGTTAAAAGAGCGTATCAGCATAATCTAAATTTTAGTCACAATTCCTATATTATTTCACTTTATTGTTGACAGTCATAAGAGAGACTAAATCTCAAACAAAATCCATCAGCATATGAGTATTGAACATAAAGATGAAACCTTTTAAAAGGATATAGTTCACAATGGAGCTTTCTGGCAGAGCTTGGGTGCACTTAAAAGGTGAGAATGAATGCAAGGGGATCTGGGGATGTAGCTCAACTGGTCCAGTGTTTGCCTGAGATGAATGGGTTCACTCTCAAGCCCTGCATAAAATTGGCTGCAATTGTACACGCTTGTAATCCCAGCACTGGGAAGGATAGAGTAGGAAAGATCACAAGTTCAAGAACATCTTGGGCTATAGAGTGAGTTTGGGGCCAGCCTGGGATATAAAAGACCCTGTCTCTAAAAAATAAAATGAATTTAAAATAAAATCTCACAAAAACCAAACAAGAAAATTACAACGTAGATTTCCAGACTAGAACATGATTGACAAATGAATGGAATCAACATTGTCATCCAAAGCAGTGGCCTTTATGGACTATGGTATTCAGTGGATCTTAGAGAAAGATTAACTAGCACGCAATCTTACAGCACAGCAAGGATCCAGACTAGGTGAGAACCAGGGAACCACTGCATGGGAGCTTACTGCCCATTTATACTACGAAGCTCTTAACCACTTGCCAACTACATGACATAACATGTGTTCCTGACTGGTAGCCAATGTATTCTTTGTTCATTGTATACATCCTGCCTGGGGCAATACCAGGGCTGCCTCCAAATCAAGATCTTATCCAGCGTGAGCAGTGCTGGCCACCAGGGAAGAGTTTCACTGTGGCCCACAATGCCTCTGCTCTATAAATGAAGAGGGTTGGACACACTGTGGCACTGGACACAAATACCATATACAATGACTACAAAGCCTGGCACTGTGGAAAACATTTACTTAGTGCTTCCAATGCGCTCTTTGACCTATCAAAAATAAGAATTAGAAGGTTCCTTTTTAAGTTTCTCTTGAAAATATTAAAATTCTGTTTCCCTCATGTTTATTTACATATACATTTATATCTGTACCTCTAAAATTTATTTGGTTCACTTCTCTTTTTATTACCACTCTACTTCCTGAGTCCTAAAATGATTGATGTAGATGTTTTTTTTTTCCTATCAGGTAAACACAGCAGCACAAAGAAAAATAAAGCCTTGGCAAGATCTCCTTTTCCAAGAATTGGGATAGAAATTTATCTGGAAAGGATCAAAAGCTGACATGTTTTAACAACATTGTTTTTCTGTACGAAAATGGGTAATCTTGCTGTTTCTTGGTTCTACTGGTCTAAAAAAGGACAAAAAGCCAGAATTTCCAGATCATGTCTGATTCTTGGTCTTTATCACAGTGTCACAGCTATGCCACAGAGCCAGGGGACCAGAGAATGACTGAAGATGGGGTGCTGTGCTCAGAGCCCTTCAAGGGACAGCAAGGGGAAAGAGGAGGAGGGAAAAGATCTCAAATGCATCCCTCCCACAGCTTCTGCAGTGTCTGAAGGCCAGTAAGAAAAGCAAATAATTACCTGGACCTCAGTGTTCAGTTGTAAAGACACACCAGAGAGGACGATAGACTTGCAGGACAGACTACTGATTTCCAGCTGAGCCAAATGCCAAGACTTTTCCTCATTTACTATAATTAGAAACGGAGTGCTGGCAGATAAGACAGTCTTCCCCCCTTTTCAAGGAAACATCTTTCCAACAAACAGACCGCTACAGAAAACCAAACCAATCGAAATGCAGAGTTGTGGAGCCCAATCCTGTTGGATATATCTATCTACAAAAGGCTCCTGTACCTAAGGCTCAGGGAACATTGTAGAGGAGCAACATTGCAGAGGAGAGGACAGAAAGAGTGTAAGAGCCAAGGATCAGGGAGTTTGATGTGAGCCTGTGTCTTGTGGTAACATCAGAAGCCACACCCACAAAGTCTCACCAACATGACTCCCCAAATGTGAGCTGAACAAGGATAACACCAATGAATATACCAAATGTGAATGGAAAAGCCCACGAGGCTTCAACCTCTTTCATAAATTTGTATTGCATTCATATATGCATTTGTATATACATATATCCCTAACTATAGCCCAAGGAGTCCATATAATGTTACTTAAACATATGTTTTCAAGGCTGTTGGCACTGACAGTTGGTGTACTCTTCCCTAAAGGGGATCACTAATTGCTGGATCCAGAGCCCAGGACAATGGTGCAACAAAAGTACTCCAAGAATATTTATTGAGTAAATGAATATATTTGCATTCCTCCTATCTAAAGCAAAAATTTCATGACTAATTTTGTGAGTAATTGATAAAAATGGGTTACTTCTAAAATTCATCACATGGATTCCTGTATCTCTGTGAGACAGGCATTTAGACTAATGGTCATTGTGATACTTTCCAGTTAGAGACCTCTACCTTTGCTTCTCAAGTGCAAGAGTTAAGGAAATCTGAAGCTGGATCTTAGGGGCAAAGAGCACTTACTGCTTCTATTAGAGGACCAGAGTTTAGATCCCAGCACCCACATCAACAAGCTAACCAATTCCTGTAATCCCAACCCCAAGAGAGCTGTCACTGTTTCTGGCCTCTGGGAACACACATGGGCATGCACACACATGTATGCACACACACACATACACACACACACACACACACACACACACACACACACACACACACACACACACAAACTTCCCTTTGGCTCTTAAAATCTTTTTGTCTCCTATTTTTCTGTAGGGTTTCCTGAGACCCTAGGGGAGATGTTTGATGGAGACACCCCATTTAGAACTGAGTGTTCTAAGGTCTCTTTGCACATTATCTGGCCGTGGCTCTCAGTATTTGTTCTCAGCCACTCCAGGAGGAAGCTTCCTTGATGATAATTCTTCCCTCAATTGAATATTTTTATCTTAAAAGAACTATTTCGAGATCCTTGGAAGATAAATTCTCAAAGTACTACATGTTTTAAAGATAAGATTTGTGCTCACACAGAACCTATGAAGTTGGCCTAAAACAAGCTGGGGCTTGGAGAAGAGGGATCCTTCAGGGAAGCATTTCTTTGTTCATCTAAAAGACATTCTCTGGTACCTCTTGTCTGCATAGTTCTGAGGACACATTATTTAGCACATAGTCACTGGCACCTCTTGTTTGCACAGTGCTGAGAATAGGGAGTTGCAGTGACCAGAATCAGGCGTAATATATGGGTAAAATTATTGGCCAGTCCACCAAATAACAATCTCAAGAATGCTCTGACAAGCTGTGACCTTATGACTTGAACTTATTCAGTTAATCAAGAACAATTGAATACTCTCAAGGTGCTTTGGAAATTTAAAAACAGTAAGCAAATGAAGCATGCATGATATCCTTTACACTCAGTGTAGATCATTTCAAAATACTCTTTCTTCAGCAATCTATATTTGATTGGCTGTGTGGGGCTCCAGCAGATCTATGTTAGCTTGGGAAACTTTCCTAGACCATGCTTCACTTCCTGAATGATAGTCAAAGTGGGGTTCCAACTATCTGATCTTGAAGCATTCATTTCCAGAGCTACTTTGTGTCCAGAATGTCAGAGTCAAATTATGGATGGCTAAAATACTTGGCATCTAGCCCATGAATGAATGGAACAGAAATATGCTTCGAAGGAGAAGTCCCTTCTAAAAGCTACTTTTTATTTAGTGGATTCGTCGGCATTATTTTAATGCTAGAAAGGTTTATCACAATTCATTTTCATTTCAGATGAAAAACTACTTAGCATTAATGAATGTGAGCTTATACCAAAGGTTCAGACTAAACTATATGTCTCTGTCAACTTAAATGAGCCTTATTCTAACAGGAGTGAATTTTTCTATTTGAAAAATGAAAACAGATGTATTTTTTTTATCTGAGATCAAGAGTTATAATTTAATAAACTAATAATTTATTGAGCTCCAAAACTTGGCTTATGCTTGCAATAAAGGCTAGAAATTCCAACAGAGAGGCTTTACAAGTACACATTTATATTGACATGTTATTATTTGTACATATTAAATTCATTTATAAGTCAAATTTTTTTTTACTCTGTAAATTATTTTTTCTAAAGTACCCCTTTAGTTTGGTTTAGTTTTATAGTATTGTGTTGGTTAGGTGCCAATTTAAAACAAACTGGGCTGGAGTCATTCAAGAAGAGAAAACTGATTACGGAATTGCCTTTATTAGACTGTGGGCACATCTGTGGAGCACTTTCTCGATTAATGATTAATATTGAATGGCCCAACCCATTGTGGAAGATGTTACCCCTGTTCAGATGGTCCTAGATAGTATGAGGATTGAGCAAGCCATGGAGAGCAAACCAGTAAGCAGTGTTCCTCCATGGTCTCTGCATAAGTTCCTGCCTCCAGGTTCCAACCTTGATCTCCTGCCCTGACTTCCCTACATGATGGGCTGTTACTTGGAAGTCTATGATAAAATAAACCCTTTCCTGCTCAAGCTGATTTCAGACACAGTGTTTATCAAAACAATAGAAAGGATATGCTTTGAAATCATATACACTTACTTAGTTAGGGTTACTATTGCTATGAAGAGACACCATGGCCACAGGAACTCTTATAAAGGGAAGCATTTTATTGGGGCTGGCTTACAGTTCAGTGGTTTAGTTCATTATCGTCATGGTGGGAAGCATGGCAGTGTGCAGGCGGAAATGGTGCTGGAGAGGTAGCTGAGAGTTCTACATCCAGATCAGCAGGCAGCAGGAAGAGACAGTGGGACACTTGGCCTGGCTTGAGCATCTGAAACCTCAAAGCCAAACCTCCAAGAAGGCCATACCTGCTCCAACAAGGCTACTCCTCCCAATATTGCCACTCCCCATGAGCCTCAGGGGGCCATTTTCATCCAAACCACCACACTATACATTCCAAAAAAATTAAATATGTATTTATTGAGTTTATTATTTAAATTTAAGAGATTATAAAGATACTGAAATCATCAGTAAGGTAGAGATGAAGGCAAAGATCAATTTGTTCATTTCTCAATATTTCATTTTAATTACACTTGGATCATTTTTTTTATCTTGCATTTTCACTCATTTTAACTTATAAGTAAAAGAAAATTGCCATTATTAGGTAGTTTTTATCTGATGTAATTTCTTATTCTGGACTATGAACAGATCTAGTAATAAAAAGGAAACTTGGTAGGGACATACACAAATGTGCATAAAATAATTATTCCTGGTAATTCCAAACTGGAAGCAAACCAAATGGTTCCCTTTGGGTGTGTACATGCAATGTGGTATGTCCATGATGGAAGGTTATTTAGTTCAGAAGAAGGGAATGGGGTATGTATACATGCCATTATCACAAAGAAAACTTGAAAATCTTTGGTGAATGAAGCCACAAGCAAAAGGCTACATAGTTTACAATTTTGTTTGTGTGAAAGTTTCTGAAAAGATAAATTCATCGAGACAGTTTATCAGGAACTAGGGAAAGGAAAAACTGTGAGTGACGGCTATTGGGTATGAACTTCGGTGAAAATTTCCTGGATTTAGAAATTGACATTGGAATAACTTCATGAATATACTACAACCATTGAAGTGAATGCTTCAGACGCCTTATTCTGTTGTATATATCTCAACAAAACCATTTATTAGAAGCCCAGTAGGGTAAATGCTATTTTATTTTTCAAGTAATTGTTGGCCTAGCTAAATTTATGGATCTTTGCTTACAATGCAATAACTTGCTAGTAATTTCCATGCATATTCAAAGAAAAATGCACACACCAAACCCAATGCAAATGGTCTGCATAATGTGCACTCTCTATATGATTATCACAAATAAAATGGTTTCTTATTCATAAAAATAGTTTTTTTTATTTGGCAGGAACTTCACAAGCAATCTTCTGTGCAAGTATATGCTGGAGATCAGGACACCAGGTGAGAGTCTGAGAGAGAGATGATGGGTGTCTCACCGTGATGGAGTGACCCTGGAAGGCAACTCGATCTTGTGTGTTCCTAGTGAGTCTGACCATCAGTATCCTCTGGGGAGTTCAGATTCCAACTTCTACACCTCTCTGGGCTGATTAGAACCTCTGTAAGCTGACCCTGGAACACAGAGGTTAATACTCTGCTAAGGCAAGATGGAGCCACAGCCAAGATGGACCCATCTTTCCTTATCAGTGTGGTTCACCTTGAGTCATGTGTAGAAGTGACAGAAAAAGTTGAAACCCCATGATTCCTTCTGGCAGTTGAAAACCCATGACTCCTTCAAGCCACCCAGCCAGTGTCGAAAAACCATGGGAAAGAAAAAAAAAGGAGTCTGTTTATCTAACTTGATCCTGTTATGGTCTAAACCAATTTCCTCTAGTTGATTGTGAGCCTCCAGTCTTGGCACACAAGCAATGACTGATGACTTCTTCTGATGGGAACTATTGCTGCCATTCCCTTGCCATGGGGCCCTGCGATGCAGCATTGTTCTCAGATAGTCTATGCTTTGTTTCCATGGAAAACAAGAGCCAGCTCCTGAGACACCATAACCACTCATTCACAATACATGTACAGCAGATGTCACATAAACGTCTCAAATTAACAAAGCAAGCCTCCAGGACTTTTGAAACATCTAGAATATTGGCCCAAGAAAGCTTTTTTGGCTTGCTTGGTTAGTGGGCTGCACGGCTCA